CATACCACACATACACACACACGTACAACATACATACTGTATTATACACATACCATGTTATACCCAAATGTATGCACACACATGTACACGCACACACACAAGGCCCTTATTTACTCCAAACTCATATAATATGAGGTGAGTTGGTGCAGAGAGAACTAACTGTACCATAGCACTATACCAGCAGTGTGAAAGGTAATTTTTTTTTTCAAAAGAAAAATTGTAACTCAAATACAAAATAAAACAAACACCAGCCAAAGACTGCATTTACTTGTTAATTCATGAAGAATCAGAACACTATGCAGCTTGGTCCACAGTGCAGACGGTGGGGGTACTCGGATCCTTCTGGTGCTATAGCCGCAGAGTTGTGGAATGGGTCAAAAACAGTGGGAGGGGACTTCAATTGATAACTGGGACCCGGAATCTTGCGCCTCTCCTGGAGAGACCTCCCAAGCCTTATGAAAGGGGTTTGTGGAACAGACTGGGGGCACATGGCAGTGCCGGGAAAGCCCCGAATCTTCTTGCCTGGTCTCCCTGCGTGCTCTGAGTAGAGAAGCACAGGTGGCCCACGGCCCTTGGTCACTTAGAAGCCATAGAAACTGCCATGAGTACTTTAAGGCTGAAGACTCTCCTTAGTAATTAAATTGTCATGTTCTGGCTAAAAATCCACCCTAAAGAGTTCTTTGGTGGAAAGGCCTCTCCTTGTGGGGATCAGGAAGGGACTGGCACCCCAACCTTTTCTTGCTCACCTCCTCAGCCCAGCAGGAGCTGCTACTCTGCTTGGTTTTGTATCTCTGTCTGTCCCTCAGGTGCTGTGGGGGTCCCCTGTGGCTCCTGGGGTACCATAATGGGGGTCGCCTGGCCCCTGGCTTCTGCAAATGAGGTAGGATTCGGGACGCTCCCAATTCAGGGGCCTGCCACTCTTGGGCTGTAGTCCTCTTATGTAGCACCTTGCATTTCTAGTTCTTCTTTTGAATGTCACAGGGCATAGCCTGGAGCAGCCAGGTTGTGGCTACCTGGGCTGTGGGGTAGGTGCAAAGCTCAGCTCTCTGGGCCTCAGTATCCTCATCTGTGAACTGGGCATGATCATGGCTCATGTAGACGGGGCAGCATGGGGTGAATCCAGGGGAGTGGATATGTGGTGCTCACTGTGGCAGGGAGGCTTGCACAGGGTCTCAGGCTCATTGTCTGTCCCCTCCCCCTGTCACAGACAAGCCAACACTGCAGTTCTCATTGGGGAACAGAGTTTATTGAGGTGGCCGCCGTCTGGCCCTACTCTTCCTTCTCGTCACCGTGGGTGATGATGTAACACAAGGACTTGTAGTCGATGTTGCCGGCCAGGTCCACGGGCGTCAGGGCAAACAGCTGCTCTACCTGGGAGGCCCCAACGTGAGGTGTGGCCTTGCGACCCCCCAGGGCTGTGCTCTGGGCCTCAGCCCTTTCCACCCTAAACCCAAAGCTGGGACCAATGTGCTTCTGTTGGCTGTCGTGGGAAGGAGTAGGCAGTAGGCCTACATGGGGACAGAGGTCAAAGGATCCCAGGCTGCCACAGAGATGCCCCATCCCTGCAGGGTCCCTCTTCCGACTCCCCACCAAGCCATGGGACAGTGCAGTCTCTTCAGTGCCCGGTGGGGAGCACCTGGGGACAGGTGTCCACCAGGCCTGAACGCCTCACCTCAGCAGGGGAGAACTTGTCTGCCTGGGTCAGGAGAAGCTGCTTGAACCTGGAAGTGGGGAGGCAGGATGACTGTGGCTCAGAGAGAGGCTGGCTGTCTCCAAAGAACACCCCCTCTTTGTCCATGAGACGGCCCTGGTGTGGACGGGTGGTGGGGGTTCCTACTTACTCATCCTTGTTCACCACACCCTGGCCGCTGGAGTCAAACATGCGGAAGGCGCTCAGGATGGCTTCCTCCGGATCGGTTCCTGGGAGGCCGAGGCAGGCAGGTGAATGCTCTCATCCCAGCCCCCAGGCCCATCCAGGAGGAACAGGTGCGTAGGAAGCTCTCTGTGACCCAGAAATGGTGGCAAGGGGGGTGGGGTGAGAGAATAGCTGTCTTTCGGAGGAGGATGGGCCCGGCAGGGAGCCTGGGACCTGGGAGGGGACAGCCCTGGGGTGACCAGGTTAGACACATGTTCTCTGGGCGGGCTGTGGCCAGGCAAGGTCCAGACAAGGTCCAGGAGGGGCCTGGTGGGTTTCATGTGAACTTCATGTGGGGTTCCCATAGGGTACAAACAGGGTTCCTATGGGGTTCACAGGTGGGGTTCCCGTGGGTTCAGGCCTGCTGTCTGCCATGTGGGCCAGGCCTTGCCCCCTGACTCACCATTGAGCTTCTCCCCAAAGAGTGTGAGAAAGACGGTGAAGTTGATGGGGCCCTTCCCCTCCTGCAGCATGGCGTCCAGCTCTTCCTCAGGAACGCTCACCTTCCCTGTGGGGGTGGGACAGGGAGGACCCTGGTGTCCCAGAGCAGGGTTGGGCTGCCCTCCCCAGCTTTCCCACCACACCAGGAAGAGAAGAGGAAGAGGGCAGGAAGAGAGGGGATGGGTCCCTGGGCAGGGCAGGCTGGGCGGCGGTGGTAGGGCTCACCAAGCTGGGAGTAGGTCTCCCTCAGGTCCGACTTGCAGATGATACCGTCCCGGTTCTGGTCGATGCAGCTGAAGGCCTGCAAGGAGAGGACTTCAGGTGGGGGTTGGAGAACCCTGAGGGTTAGGAACCCTAACCAGGGTTAGGAACCCTGAGCACAGAGAAGAGGGGCCCCCAAAAGGGTGGGGATTGTTGGCAGGGAGCACTCACTTCCTTGAACTCCTGGATCTGGGCTTGCTCAAACATGGAGAAGACATTGGAAGAGCCACGCTGGGCCTGCTTGGTGGCGGCCTTGCCCCGAGTCCCTGCCTTCCTGCTGGCCTGCAATACCAACCAAGACTGATTCCTTCCATAGCTCCACCAAATCTCCCCTCCCCACCCCACGCTTCTGGTACCCACGGGAGGATCTTCTCTCCATCCCTGGGGACACTTCCTTGGGCCCAGTGAAGGCACAAAAAAGTCCCTGGCTCTGTCACTCCTGACTCCAAGGCTAGCGCCTGGATGCCAGCACTTACCATCCTCTTTCCAGTGGCCTGGCTGCACCCTCTTGTCACCAGGCCCCCTTTATGTCACAGTCTTATCACCTGGAGGTCCAAATAAGGAAAAGAGTGGCAGACAGGCCCAAACTTGGAAGCCCCTGCCTGAGTCAGGGGAGGATGGGGGCCCTAGGCAGATTCCAGCCACATTCCTGGGGACCTTGGCTCCATATCTTCCCGGAGCACAGCAGCTCAGGGTGCTCAGCAGGGTACCTGTCATGGCCAGTCTGATCCTGACCCTCAGGTCTGAGGAGAGAAATGACTATTGGCCTGAGACCCCAGGATTCCCAGAGGTCCTGCTGAAGACTGAGGAACAGAAGGCAGCAGCTCTGAGCCGGAGGTCACTCTGCAGAACGCTTTGCTTGATTTTGGAGGAATTTGATGGGGAGGGGGTCCCGGTGGAGACCCATTGGCTAATGTCCCCATCTCTGTCGCTGCTGCTACAGGATCCTCCACTGAGACAACCCCACCTGCCAGGCTTGGAATCTTGCTGTCCTGAGAGCTCCATTTCAATACTACCTCCTTTGGAAATATCTATGATGTCCCCAACTGGGAGCTGTGAGGCACATTACTGGTTTTCCTGGTGATGGCTGATGGCTTTGGAGCATCCTCTTGGGAACCCATTCTGGTCAACATCAGTACTCCGAGGGGCTGGCACATGCCAGGCCTATGTGATACTTTTCTGGTTTCAGTCCATTGCTTTTTTTTTTTTTTAATCGGTATCAGGGATTGAACTCACGACCGCCTGTTTGCAAGGCAGACGCTTATTCCGCTGAGCTAAATCCCCAGCCTGTGATACTTTTCTGCAGGAAGCTTTGGACCTACGGAACCTCCCTCAGGTGATGCTAAACTGGGCATAAGGGCCACGGCGCCCTCTGCTGTCCCAGAGCAGCAGAGATAGGGTTAAGGCTAGCCGCTAGGAACACCTCACCCCACCCCGCTCTGCAAGGCCTAGCTGCAAGCTAGGAGGGAACAAGCCATTTTTTACGGTCTGAAAGTGAAATTCATTCATTTCCATTCAGATCCATAACCTACCATTGAAAAGTCAATGAAATGCTGTAAGTACAATATGAAGTTGGAAGCCAGGAATATTAAAATCCATTCCAACACACGAAGGCTCAAATGTGAGCTCACATATCCCAAAATGAAGTAAGCAGATGCTTGCATCACTTTACAACAAGGGATTTAAACTCAGGGAATTTAAACGAGGAGGAGGGGAAATAATTCCACACTCAAAATATCAGAAAATGGAAATATTTCAGGAAGACGTGACATCAAAATCACAGCTTTGGGTTAAGCTCTGACGGAAACACAGCATGGTTGCTCCTGACTTGCTGAGTGCTTTCCTACATGGGGAAATGAGCATGTGCCTAAGGCACACAAGGCTGTGTTTCTGTGTCATTGTGTTCATGCTGCAGATGGCACTAGCTCCTTCTTGGTATCTCATCTGCAGCAGCTCTGGAAGGACCTTAGAAATGGCATGACATCTTACACCCCTGGTCCCATTCACTGTCACTATCTGCATGACTCTAAGAGGACAGGGCCTCACTGAGACCAACCTGCAGCCGGACTAGCCTGTTTCCAACCTGAGGGGGACCCCCCCCACCAGCACTCCCACCCCGCCCCACCCCCACACTCCACAGGCAGGCAGGGGCCTGACCTAGTGCAGAGCTGTTCAGTGCCCCACTTCCTCCCCTGCCCCTACTGCCCAATTCCTGCTGCCTGGTCTGTCACACTTCCTGTTCCCCTGGGCACAGCTGGCTGCAAGGGACAGCAAATTTCAAGATACGCTCAGGTCTATAGAAGCTGCCCCGTGACACTGTGTCTTCAGCTGCTGCGCCCTGGTTCTAGTGGACAGAGGTCAAAGAATAAAGCACAGGTCCTGATTAAACCTTTTAAAGTTTTTAATTAAAAACCCTATAGGCCCGGTCTGGGCATAGAGAAGGTCACGTGGCACATGAATGTCCTGATGAGGACAAGGGGAGGCCTTTTGAGGTGTGCAGGATGCTGCTGGGAGCATCTTCCTGGGCCAGTGTGACAGCCACGGACACCGTCCTCCCTGTGGGCACAGGTAAGGGCCCCTGATAATGCAGGAAATCCTTTGCAGCTCCCTTGGCATCTCCTGTGAAGAGCCAGGCCAGAACTACCAGTCACTCGGGGTGGGGCTGTGTGACCAAAAAGATCCCTGTGGCCTGGGAAGCACTTCCATGCTGCGGGGCCCCTTTCCCGGGGGTCCCAGGCCTCCTGAGCCACAGGGAAGGACACACCAACCCAGCTGCCAGCAGCCCTCATTCCCCTTGGGCTCTGGTCTGGTCTGGCTAAGCTTCTGGAGATGCCTCTCCTTGCAGGGTGAGGCCCCACAAGACCCATTTCCAGGCCAGCCCAGAGAACCCGTCCTTCTGGGGGTCCCCTCTCCCTGGGTGGGTAGCTCGGAACTGCAAAGTCCTGAGTTATCCACTCCTTTCTGGGTATTTGATTCCAGCAAGGAAGCCAAGGGGGTCAGAGTCTCTGTGCCTGCTTCTCCTGGCAGTCACTCCAGCCAGGCAGGGGCTCTGCTCCATCGACTGAACTAGAGAAGGGGCCGGCTGGGCTCCAGGGGCCTCTCCAGTCCTCAGAGCAGCGGTGGCCCCGCGTCTGCGCCCTCGCGGGCCCTCATTGGCCCAGCATACAGGCCTTCTTGCAGGCCACCGCAGACACCAGCGCGGCGCCCCGGCCGCTGCCCTCCTCGGACTCGATGAAGGTGATTTCGCAGCGGGGCGTCAGCCTGCGCACGCTGGCGTGGAACCGCTCCTTGAAGCTGGACAGAGAGGAGTAGGGTTAGGCTGAGGGTCCCCAATCAGTCTTCCCCACGTCCACCGGCCCGGATGGGCTCACCTGGGGTGCAGCTTGTACACCGAGCCGTCCACGCCCACGGTGATGCGCATCATGTCCAGGCTGCGGCTCTCTCGCATGCGGTTGATGACGCCCGCCAGCCCCGCGGAGCACATGTGCGCGGCGCGCGTGGACACGCTCTCGCAGGCGCGGCGCACGATGTCGCAGTCGGTGGCGGAGGGCCGCAGCCCCAGAGTGCTCAGGATGTTGTGGATCTGCTTGCGGTCGCCCGGGTCGCTGCAGGGCGAGGCGGGGAGGCTTCGCTCGCCCTAGTGGCTCCAGGGCCCGCAAGGCCAGAGACTCCCACCCCCACCCCGGCCTGGGTCTCTGCTCCAGCGACAGTGCCGCGGCTCAGGGCTGTCGCGCGGATGACGGGGACAGGGTCTGCGGTGAGGAGGGAGCTCGCCAGGCGCGGGCGCGCTCCGGGATAGGAGCCAAGTGCTTCGCCTAGGACCCCGCCTCAAATTCTTCACGTCCCGGCCATTTAGGGTCCCCGCCCCGACCCCCAGGCCCGCTCTCCCCGCCTATTGGCTCGGGGCCACACCCACGCTCACCCCTCTCCACCACGGGCCCGCCCACGGAGCGCTCCTCGCGGCTCTCCGTCCCCTGCCCGCCCCGCCCCGGTCCCCGCCCACACCCCGTCCCCGTCTCCCCCCTCACCCGGTCCCCGCCCGCCCCATGCCCACCTCTCCACCTGCGACACGAAGCGCGTCTCGAAGGTGCCGCGCGTGCGCAGCTGCTCTGAGGCCTCCCCGCGGAACAGCAGGTTCTCATCCACCAGCCTGAGCAGCACGAGCCGCACCAGCTCGCCCATGTACTTTCCGCTGATGAGCTTTTCGTACCTGCAGGCGGCGCGTGGGTTACACGGGCCATCGGGGAGGGCCCAATGCCCCAGCGTGGTTCCGAGGTGGCCACGTGGGACTCCGTGACGCCTTTGCCCACCCCAGCCCGATTGCCCTGGTTTCTGTGTTTCCTATGGTCCTGTGCTTCGCGGAAACTTCAGGCGTGCGGCATCTCCAGTCCAGCCCAGCTCAGCTGAGGGTGCTGGGCCGCGCTGCTGAGCCATGCACGCCGGGATGGGGTGCAGGGCCCAGCGAGGGTTGCAGTTCTTTCTTATTGGCCAGTCAGTGGGGTACACTGAGGTCCAGAGGATTAGTGCTCAGCCTGAGGCGCACCCCACAGTGTGGCACGTTCTCCCTATGTGAGTCTGCGTGTGTTGTGTGTGTATGGGAGTCTGCGTACTTAGCAGGCTGGGCACAGTGCCCAGCAAGTGACACCCATGATTAATGACAAGCTCTGAGCTTGGGTTTCCCAGATGTGCTAGGCCACCTGCAGCATTCCACAAGATATACTCATTCTGGAACGGGACAAGCCTGTACTTTGGGGAGCCCTGCTGCGGGCCTTCCAGGACTCTTCTGTGCCCAGAGTCACCTGTGAGAAGGTTGACCTACATATCCCACTGTTGGGCTCCACCAGAACAGGCCAGGAGCGGGCTGAGGGAAGGAGGACACCCAGGTTTGGAGACCGCTGCTACCCTCTGCTGCACAGGGAGTGGCCTAGCGGGACTGTGGGCGTCCTTACAGCTGCTGACCGGGGTTCACGGAGCTCTCGTCCACCATGCGGTCATACTCTAGCAGGAACTCGTCCAGTTCGCCAGAGTTGCCAAAGGCGCCCCACTCGGTGTTGACGCACATGCGGCCCTCGTCCCCTTCCACCAGCTCCACGTTCTGCATCTCCTCCATGTAGCAGGCGTTGCAGCCTGTGCCTGTGGGAACAGCATCAGTCAGGCTTCAGGGGTGCAGGGCTGGCCCGGTGACCCAGGGCGACCGTGCCAGTCTCTTTCAGGGAAGAGGATGGTGACACCTTCCCCACTGTTACGTTTAGATCTAAGATGGCCCCCAGAGCCCTGGTGTTTGGAAGATGACTGAGTTTGGAGGGGTGCCTTAGTGACTTGCTGTTAGAAGGTGGGCTCTGGTGGGAATGGGCAGCTGCTGGGGACGTGGCCTGGAAGGGTCTGCCTCCCTCGCAGGCTCCTCCCTTCTCTCCTTGCTTCTTGCCTCCCTTGGTCCGAGCCAGCGGCTTTGTTGGCCCAGACATTTCCATCATGCAAGGCCTGAAACTTCTAAAACATGAACCAAAATAAACCTGTCCTCCTTAAAGCTGTGGGTGTCAGGTTATGGGAAAGTGACATTTCTTGGGTGATTGAGACCTTGTGCCAATACAGTTTGCCAGCCAGCGATGGACGTGGGATATTCTGCTTTTGTGTGCTTTAGCGGTGTTTCTAGGCACCCTGCGCAGGTGTCCCTGAGCCCCTCTGTCCTGCGCACTTTTTGGTGTGAGCCTTAAACAGCCTAGAGGCCACTGTGGGCAGCACTGGCTTCAGTTTGTTACTGGCTGTGCCCTGTGGTGTTCTTCAGCCGTAAGTCACAGAGAGTTTTGATGATGATGCCACAGTGTTGTGCTCAGTGCAGCTACATGGGCCACACAGCTCTGGAGTTCTGAGTGACAATGCAGCTATGCAGGTCCCCAGCAAGAGGCAGGGTTCCCTGGCTTCCAGTTGTTTGGTGAAAACCATGAACCTGGACTTTGATGTGAAGTCCCCAAGTTTTAGCCTTTGGTAGTTACATGATTTGAAACACCAGGTGTTGTGAGCAGATGTGAGTCATGGACACCAACAGGCACCTGGGAAGGGAGAACTTGGGCCGAGCAGCTGCAGCCTGGTGTGGTGAGAAGCCAGCTGAGGCAGCAGGGGCTTTTTGGGAGGGGCCCAGCAGGGGAGAGCGGGGATTCAGGTACAGATGTTGCACTGAAAAACAATTTTCTATCCTAAAGGTGAGGATGAAAGTACGAGTGGGAAGCAGGTGGAGAGACAAGGTGAGGTCAGGCTGGCGCTCAAGAGAGACGCAGGCATTTGTCTACTGTGCTGCGGATCTGTACAATCCTGTACAGCATGTACGATCGTGTGTAACATGTATGATCTGCACAAAACATAGAAACGATTTGGAGGGTTATAATTACAGCTGGGAGCCCACTCCAGTCTCAAATATGTGACCTTTCAGGACTGGTTCAGATGGGCCTATAGGTGCAAATAATGTCCATGGTCTGGGTAGCCGGGTCCCCAGAGCCCATAGGCACAGATAAGCAGTAAGGGTGTGGGACCTGGGGCTCCTTTCCTGTTTCCCTGAGCAGTGGTGGCCTCTGGGAGTGGGGCCAGGCAGACCCATGGAAAGACTTTCTAGGAAAGGGTGATGCCACCTTTGTGATTTTCTTCCACTTAGACAAATCTGTCCAGTGTAACTAATTAACTGGATAAAGTGTTTTAACTGGATCCGGTGTGTGTTTGCAGCTGGTGGTCCATGTGATATCGTGGTGCTGTGAGTGGTGAATCTTCCTACTGCACGCGTGCCTGCACCACCACACCCCCAGGTCGGCGGGCCCTGGCACTAGGCCCTGCACCGATTGTACTTGGCACTGTGCTTTGACCTTCACTGCCCCCATAGGCCCCTCTGCAGCCTGGGAGGGGGGAGGAGCCCTTACCCACGATCATGCCGACCTCACACTGGCGGTCTTCATAGTAGCAGGAGATCATTGTGGCTACTGTGTCGTTCACCATGGCCACCACATCCATCTCAAAGTCCTGCCAAGGAGCACAAGATAAGCCAGGTCTCCCAGTGTGCTGGTAGGCTGGGCAGGAGGATTGCAAGTTGGAGACTAGACTGGGAAGCCTTCCTTCTCTCAACAAATAAAAAAAGGCTGAGGGTATTGTTCAGTGCAAGGGCCCTGGGTTCATCTCACAGGACTGTAAAGAAGAGAAAAGAGGAGGAGGAAGAAGAGAAGGAGAAAGTGGTGGTGGGCAGCAGAAGCTGAGATGATGGGGTGGGGGAAAGGTCCTGGGAGGGCAGAGCAGCCCCTCTGGGCAGGCAAAGGTGTCCTCACCCCTCTCCTCTTGATGGCATCTCGCAGAAGCCCCACGATGTTGTTCCCTTCTGCTCCTGAGGCTTTGAAGCCCTTGGTCCAGTTGAGAAGGATGCCCTGTGGAGTGAGGCAGGTTCATGCCATGGGCTCTGGGCACAGAGCTGAGCCCTAAGCTGGCTCCTTCCAGCCATGGGATGTGTGCCCGCACTGGGCCATTGAGGAAACAGACTCTCAGCACCCACATTGCTTCGAGACTTATCGGAGATGATTCTTCCTGAACATCTCATCTTCCCATGGGGTTGGGTCTCAACCAATTTAAGGATGATTGTGAGTATGCATGTGTATATGATAGCAGACACTGAACCTCAAGCCTCAAACATACAAGGGGAGTGGCCCAGCCCTGAAAAGTTTGCACAGTAAATCCCTGAGATGTTACCCCGGAAGAGCAAGGCGGGTTCCCAGGGGAGCAGTGCTGTCTGTAGATTGGGGTTCCTCCCTGTAAGCTCCCTGCTGCCTGCAGGTGGGTGGGTACTACCTGGCCCACCTGTGTCTCTGTGGGGACCAGGACTTGGGAAATTGTGTGAGATGTTACTCTGGCTGCTTCTAACTTGAGCTGTGACCTGGTTCTGTTTCTGATCCAGAGGTCTCGTGTGTTCATATGTACATAGGTCGTGTATGTGTGTACATGTGTGTGTGCATAGATGTGCACACGCACGCATGCATGTGTATCAAGTTGTAACCGCAGGCTAACTTTGGAGTTTGCAGTGGGTGATGAGGTGGGGTGGTAGCCCATGGCCGGCTGTACTCCCCATTGTGGACAGTGGCGATCAGCTCATGTGCCGCTTATTTTCCCAGGCCATGTGTGATGGGGCAGTCAAGTAGCCCTCATCTCCTCCTTTCTGTGAGCTGCCCTCCACTGCCCGCCACCCTCTGCTCCCCACCCTGCCCTCCACCTGGCCACCTTGTCGATGTCCTCATGCCTCACAGGGAAGGAGAAGGTAAAGCCCAGGGGCAGCTTCTTGTGCTTCATCTGGTGCTTGTCCAGGAAATCAGAGATGCACTCAGAGATGTAGTCAAACAGCTGGAAGACATAGCAAGGTGGCCGCTGGGTGCAGGGCTGGGCCAGCCAGCAGCCCTCTCTGGCTTGGTGGTCCTCAGCTCACGCCCTGCTGTGGGTCACTACTCAGGCTCTGCACCTCCCCAGAGGCAGCCCCAGACACCAGTGAACCTGCGCCATCAGCCCAGTCCCCGCTAGACCCCGTGAGGCCAGGCCGGCTGCTCTGCGAGGTCTAGGTGGGGGCACATTCCTGGCCGTAGCTACGGCTGCTGCCTCCTTCGATGCTTCCGGGTATCCTGGCTGCCCCAGCTCCCAGCCCCCAACCATGGGCCTGTCCTCAGAGCTGCTGGCTCTGCAGGTGAACCAAACTCTCTTCTGGGCACCAGGGCCTAGGGAGGTGCCTGTGCCATGCCTGCTGCCCAGATCCACCAACAGACAGCAATCTGTAGGCAAGTGAGGGTCGGGCAGTGTGTGTGGGACTTCTGCCTTGAACCTGGCCCCTCAGGGCCACTCAGTGCTTTGGTTTTGATTTTGATTTTTGAGGCAGGCTCTTTCTATGTAGCCCAGGCTGACCTACAATGTGTAGAGACCCTCCTGTCTCATCTTCCTAAATGCTGGGGTTACAGGGTGTGTGCTACCACAGCCTGCTCAGTTTTTATATGTTGACCTTTCCTCTGGGAAAGTAGACAGAGAACCACCAGCTGGAGCAGCTTCTCCAGCCCATTGAATCCCTCCACAACACAATGACCACGGGACTGGGTCTGGTTGGCCAGGCCTAGAGGCTGTCTGCTGAGGCCTCTGAGCCGCCTTTGGTACTCTGGTACCGCCGTTGGCGGTCTGGGGGGGGGTGGATGGACCCCCAAGCTCCCAGGGACCTCACCCCTGCCCATCAGGCCCCCAAGCTGCTCACCATTTCTGCAGTGCCTGTCATGGCGTCCTCGGGGATGGAGTACATCTGGTGTTTGGTCTTCACGCTCCACTGTCCCTCCTCACCCTCCCCCACCTTCACCAGCATCACCCTGAAGTTGGTGCCTCCCAGGTCCAGGGACAGGAAGTCTCCGACTTCTGCAGACAAAGAGAGGCGCACTCAGGTTGGCACTGTCTGGCAAGTCTGGGCTGGAGGGACCCAGGCAGCTGGCCTGGGACCAGCTCTAAGAGAGTGGGTATCAGGCAGGCTAGCGGGTGTAGTAGGGTCACCGGCCCAGACTTTGGGGTCAAGGGGGAGGGATCAAAGCACACTGGAGAACCGTCCATGGGAACCCCGTCTTATAGCCCCAGGCGCCACTGAGGGCCTGGGCCTGGACTCAGGATGGGGCAGGGCCCCGAGAGACCATGGAGAGAGAGGTCCTTCTGTGGACCTGCGGAGCCAAGGGTGGGTGAGTTGGGGACATCATTGCTTGCCCAGGGACCCTTTCCGGGGATAGCGAAGCCTTTGGCAGTGCCATCCCTGCGGTACCTGAGCCTTCTGGGGTGGAACGCACGTAGGTGGGCAGCATCTTCACGCTGGCCTCCTCGTGGGTCTCCAGCCTCAGGCCTCGGTCCATCTCCTTCTGCATCCGCCGCATCACCTTCTTCAGATCCTCCTCCTGCAGCTGGAACTCTGCCAAGATCTGCTCCGCCTGCAGGGAGGTTGGGCATGCACGGGGTCTCCTGCTGTCCTCTGGCCCTGAGTTCTGTATGTCCCCTCTCTCCACACGGCCCGACACAGTTGAAGGGGAAGCATTCCAGGATCAGCCCTTGATGGTTACTCTGGGCATGCTGGAGGGGCGAGTGGCTTTTGTGCCTGGTGCTATCCTTGTGGCTCAATGTCTGGTAGCACCTCCTGGTGGCCCTCAGGTCAGGGACAAAGGGAGGAGGAGGGCACTGCCTGGGCAGCTGGTGAGACAAAGCTGGAGCTGATCAGCGGGCGGGCAGCTGGTGTCACTGGGCAAAGACCTGGCCACCCTTCTGCCAGGACTCCCTGGAGCAAATGAGCATCCAGCACTGGTGTGCACAGGGCACCGAGGCAAGGCTGGTCAGAGTGAGCCACCATGCCTGTCCACTGCCTGTTGGGGTTCTGCTAGCCTGGCACGGCATCCACTGGGTGGGAGCTGAGCTTGGGGGTGGGTGTGCATGCATGGGTGTGAGCCGGGGGAGCTCAGATTTGACCAGCACCATTTCCATGGGCACCTGAGAGCAGGCCCTGACCATGGTGATGGCTGTCCTGGTGGTTCCCAGAGAGCATAGTTGTGCATCCATTCCCTTTGCCCAGCACTGCATATTCATGGAGAAAGGCCACACTGATACAGTGGTAAGAAAAGTAATCATAAAGATATTTTCAAGCCAGGTGTATATAATCCTGCCATTCTAGGAGGCGGGATGAAAGGATTGCAAGCTTCAGCCCAGACTGGGCAATTTAGCAACCTAATGAGACTGTCTCAAAAAAAAAAAGAAAGAAAGAAAGAAAGAAAGAAAGAAAGAAAGAAAGAAAGAAAGAAAGAAAGAAAGAAAGAAAAGAAAAAGGTAAAAAGGGCTGGGAATGTAGCTCAGTGCTAAAGATCTGGGTTCAATCCTCACCACTGCAAGCCAAACAAACAAAAGCCCCTAAGATATATGTATTTTTAACAACAACAAAAAAAGGAAAAGTCAGTCACTCTGATAAAAGCCGTGGATCCAGTCTTTATAGGAACTTGCTCTCTTTTGCTCACATAAGCTCAGTGGGCTGGAGATGCTCTGAATTTCAGCTAGGAGGCAGCATGCTATTTGCTTCTTTGGTTTTTTACAGCCCGGATTTTGTTCAGGTGGCAGGGTGCCACATTAAGGCATGACTAGGCTTGGAGAAGCACAGCACCTGTCCTCTTTCTGGCAATTGGACATATGGCCCAGTTCTGGTCAATGGAAAATGAGAGGAAGACTGATTTTATCAGCAGGCAGAATTACAGGACTCCCCTAAGGTTTGTGAGTGTGGCTGTCTGAGGATGTGACAACGGGCACTGCAACAGCCATCTTGCAAGCATGAGGAGATGAGGCTGTTAGCACAGAGAAGAGAGATTGATGCTGGGCACCCCAACTCTATTTGTTGGCTAGAAAGTAAATAATAACCACTGAAGCCACAGGTATTGAGAATGTAGATTTCCCGCAACCCAAAGCATTCCTACTGGTTATAGATCCTTAGTTAAGAACCATTTTTTTTTTTTTTTTGGTCTTTTTCTTTTTTATCGGTACCGGGGATCGAACTCACGACCGCCTGCTTGCAAGGCAAGTGCTTATGCCTCTCAGCTAAATCCCCCAGCCCCAAAAACCATTTTTTAAGAGAGTTCCATCCTTATGCTGTTACCCAAGGAAGGTTACAAGGAAAGGGTCTGTCGAGGGCACTGACAGAACAGGCCCTGCACTGGCACCACTCCAACACAGGGCAGGAGTGGGAATGCAGCTGGGGCCTTGGTGGGGCATCCCGGGGAGTGTCCTGCTGGACACACACAGAGGGCAGCCCTCCTCCATGTGGAGATGTTCTTAAGGCCACAGAGGTCACCGGGCATCCTGGTTAGATAGCAGAGGAGAGGTGAAGGGGATCAGGCAGGACAAGGGGGCTGGGTTTGAGATCCCATCCCTGGAATGCAGTGGAAGCGGGGCACCACAGAGGGCTGGGTTGATAGTGAGCCCAGCCAGAGGCAGATTCTGGCCAGCACTGGAGGTCACCCCTGTGGGACCACAGGACCCTGGCACAGGGATCCAGAGCCTCCCCAGTGGAGTCAGCTGCACTCATGCTCCTGAGGAGGAGCATGTCATCCTAATCTGTCACCCCCAGAGTGACAGATACAAGGAGCCCAGGGGCCAACAGCACCGGGCAAAGCTGGGAGACTTCCAGCTCAGGAGAAAGGGCTCCCACAGAGGGGGTGGCAACTCGCAACCTGTGAGTAGCAGGTGAGGGCCATGTCCAGGTCCCCCAGAACCTCAGAGCTCATTCAAGGGCTCTCTGCCTGTTCACCATCCCCGCCCCCAACCCAGCTTCTATAAATTGAGGGTGCTGGTCGGGGCTGCCCTCCCGGCCTGAGGCCCTGGACTCTGGGAGACCCTTACCAGCGTCAGGGCTGCCTGTGCTCGGCTCCGGGCCTCATCCATGGCCATCTGTCTGAGGGGCAGCAGGGAGTTTTGGGGAGTGGAGCTGCAGCCACCTGCTGAGGCTGGAGTGTGGCTGTGTCACTGTGGCGTCTGAGGACACCTGGAGCAGGTGAGGCTGCCTGGCCAGAGGTGCCCAGGACAGGCAGCCCAGGGCTTCTGTACTGAGGTGCTCAGTGGGCAGCTACTGAAATACTCTGCCCGATGTGGCGGGGTCAGGGGCAGGGCCAGAAGGGCAGAGGATCTCACAGGGTCAGGGTTGCCAAGGGCCCTGGGGACAGGGCTATGGGGAAGGTGCGGTTCGGGATTGCTGCTGGGGGGCATGGCTGAGCCAGCATGTCACCCTGCACTCCTGGACACTCAGCAGAAAGAGGTGACCAGGCCGACTGGAGGTGATGGGAAGGGGGATCCCTTGGTCCCATCAATGGGGAGGTCCTGTGTGCATTGTGAACGATCTGGGGTGCAGCCTGGTGCTCTGGTGGGAAGAGATGACCCATGTAAAGAAGACCAGGGAGGTGCAGGAAAGGCACAGCTCCATCCACAGTGGGGACCCAAATAGGCAGCGAAGGACCCAGGGCTCAGACATTCAGGGAAGCTTCGGCAACTGCAGGGTGTGGGGTCCCCCAAGCCCACTGACACAAAGCTTCCTGGCCACAGGAGCAGGAGCAGGTGCATGGCCCCAGGGCTACCCTGAGGGATCCCCAAGTAAAATATATAAGTTTTAGTCAGCACTCTTCAACTGTCAACCACAGATCCCATCTCAAAGTTCCCTGAGCTAGAAAAACAAAAATAAAAAACAAAAACTCAAGAAAGTAGGGTGGTCAATGAGGACATAATTGCAAATTACTGGCCCAGGCAAGACTGGTTTGGGTTTTACCTGTGGCTTCATGTTGCATATAATTTATTTGCTGGGTGGAGACACACACCCAGCCCCTCCTCATGCTTGTCTGGGAGTGAACCCGAGACTTGCCCTGGCAGACACCTTCCAAGCCCTGCTAAAATTAGCCACAGTTGGCAGGCAGTTAGGGTACAGAGGGTGCCTTGCAGGGATGCCGGGCTCCTCCACCAATAGCCGTGGTGGTTATATACTGACTCGATCGATCCTGTTTCCCAAATAAGCAAGGACAGCCTCACCAGACCTCATGTGACAGGTCACTGACCCCAGCCTGTTTGCTATGGGTACAGAGCTTGTGCCTGAGTTTGGAGCTAGCCAGGCCCTGGAGCCCTGCTGTTCTCCAGGGCCACATCTTGGCACAGTAAGGATGGTCCAGCTCTTCTCGCTGCGTTCCTTGGGTGGCCAGAATGGGAGGTGTGGGCTAAGAATGTGTGTGTGTGTATGTGTGTGTGTGTGTGTGTGTGTGTGTGTGTGTGTGTGACTAGGAATTGAACCTAAAGCCTTTGCACTGGCTACAAACCCAGCCTGTTTTATTTTTTTAGTTTGAGACTACGTCTTGCAAAGTTGCACAGGCCGGCCTCGAACTTGAGTTCCTCCTGCTGCAGTACCCCGCTGAGTAGCTGGGATGGCAGGCCTGTGCCACCATACTTGGCTCTGCTTAGAACTTTCTAGAAAAAACCCAGAGCTATGTGATAATGGGCCAGGATGTATTAGGAGGTAGCAAGCTCCACACTGGGGTAGAGGGAGTAGATTAGGCTGGTCCTGCTCTGTGTCCCAGTTAACCTCCCTGCTTTTGAGGTTTAAGGAGCTGCCTCACAGCCCTGACATGATTTTCATTTTTGCTTATCTCAATAGTTTCGTTTATCTCAATATTACAAATTCAGTGATGGATACTCAAGATTATTTCTTCTGGTATAAAAAATGGTACAGAGCCCACATATCCAAATATTGTATAAGAAATTGACTAAATAAATTATGTGCAACATGAAGTCATTGACAATGGTGAAGCCAGGCATGGTGGCACATGGTGGTAATTCCAGCACTTTGGAGGCTGAGGCATGAGAATGAGTGTGAACTGGGGTAAACAGCAAGTTCAAGGCCAGCCTGAAATACATAATGAGATCCTGTGTATCTACCTATGTATATATGAAAAAAAGGAAGAAAATAGTGAGGTTTATTTGCTTCTATTGGCGTGGGAAGGTGCTTGTTTAAAGGAATCGTTTATTCTTTAGTGTTGATTTTTTTGTGACAGGGTCTTTCGATGTAGTTTAAACTGGTCTTGAACTCATTATGTAGCCCAGACTGGTCTCAGACTCTTGATCCTGTCCTGCCTCAGCCTCCTGTGTGCACCATCATGCCTGGCTTAAAGAACTCTAAAGGAACCTAGTGGTCACTCCCTAGGGAGTCTCTGCTATGCCTGGTCTCTGCCGTGTCCTCTCCCAAGATCAGCAGACATAGCTGGGCAGGGACAGAATACTGTAGACATGCTGGAGTGTGACTGGAGGCTGGGCCATGAAGGATGTGTGGCCCCTGTCTTTCTGTGCATTGCTCACTGCAAGGGTGGCCAGCTACTGTGCTGTGGGGACGCACGAGCCTGTGGGCACAGCTAACCCAGAAGGAGGCCCCTGCTGCCAGGCTGCACCCCACCACACCTGAGACAGAACCACTTGGACGTGGCTCACAGCCCCTATTACAGCTTCAGGTGACAGCCCATCCAGGCCGAAGAGGAAACCAGAGCCACTCTGCCTTTCTGCCCTGTGGAGGCCACGTGAGACAGCAGAGGTTTGTTGTGTAAAGACCCTGAGTCCTGAGACGATCCGTTCCATAAGCCAGATAACTACACATGGGAAACAGAAATGTACAACCCATACTGCCACGGATGCTATAGGTAATATTCACGTGAGAGAGCCAAGTACAGTGGCACACACCTGTAATCCAGCTGCTCCAGAGGCTGAGGCAGGAGGATTGCAAATTCGAGGCCAACCTGGGCAACTAGATGACACCCTGACTTGAAACACAATAAAAAGGGCTGGGGTGAGGCCCCAGGGTAGGCCTTGTGCCTAGCAGGCACCGTACTCTGGCTTCAACCCCCACTACCAAAGAAAAAGACAAAACTAGAAAGTTTAGGTCTTGTCTACTGATTTTGATCAGAAGTTCCGACTCTGAAGGATAAAGGACCACAGTTAAATGGGCCAAAATGCCAGACTGTGGAAAGGGAAGCAGGGCAAGGGAGGCCAGGAGCCCATAGTGCCAGCCCGCGTCACAGTCTGTGCCCAGACTGCCCCCTCATCATCTGGTGCCAAGCATGGGCCACTGATGCAATGGGGCCTGGAGGTCACAAGTGTTGCAAGTGTTTGCTCACTGCAGAGCAGACTTGAGCCTGGCTGAGGGCCAGGCTGGGGCCTTTGAGGGGGATGATGGTAGGCAGCTGTGATTCAGGGCCAGGATTCCAGGGGCAGTGGGCAAGGGGGAGGTGGGATAGGCAACAGCAAGGCATGCTGGGTAGACACCACAGGTCATGCATAATGTCAGACCCCGGCATGGATTACATCAGGCCTGTGTGCTGTGGGGAGACTGAGGCTCCCAGGAGTTGAGGGTCTTCCCAGGATGCACCAGCCAGAAGGCAGTTGTCCAAGACCCCTGGGACATTCTGATTCCAGGATTATAAGAATTTAGTCTCCTTGACAGGATGTGGTGCTCTCCAGGGCCAAGCAGGCCACACCTGTATATACGTGAGGTTCCCAGCAGGAGCCTGGAGGCCGACTCTACCACTCACTGGTGCAGAGGCTTGGAGAAGGTCCCCTTGAATTTTCATGCTTTAGTTTTGTCATCAGCAAAAGATTGTCACAGCTCACCGTCCTCACTGGGCTACTGAGAGGGGTCAGCAGGCTGTGCGGATAACCCCGGGTAGTTCAATACCTTGTAGGTCTTGTCACCGCCAAGGGGAGTTCCATCATGCATCAGAGTTGAGGACACCAGCAAACCCTGTCCCTATAGCAGTCTGACATCAAACTTCCACCCTCGGAGGGCCCTAAGGGGATGGCTAGGTGACACAGCCCCTTTGCTGCTGCTCCTACACTAGACCAGAGAAGCTTCTGACTGAAAATGAGCGACCAGGTACAACATCATTGGAATGGAAGCGTAGGAAGTTCAAGGAGTTGTTGGTGTTTCCATCTAAACAGCCGTGCAGCTTTCCCTGCTGCTGGCTGCAGCAAGGTGGGCAGAAAAGATCTCATGTTCTAGTTGTGCCTTTTGGTTGACCTGGTGGTCCCCTGAGAGCCTTGTCTTTGCTTCTGGCTCCTTGAGCTGCAATAGCTACCCTAGTGGGAAGCTAGCAGAAGACTTAGAGATGTACATGCGGGGTTTTCTGTTGTTGTTGTTGTTGTTATTTTTTTAAAAAATCTATACATCTAAGTCATATTTCAGGCCACAAGCTAACTGCAGAAGCAACAGAAACACCAGTTGTTACACAGAGAAAAGAATACAGGTTGGCAAAAATAGTTTGGAAAAATCACAATACAGATAGATGACTGTGAACTCAATGAGCAAAACATGAGGGAGAGAATCTGATTCCCAGGGTTACCATATTGTACTACTCCAAATAATTAGCTCTCCATATTACAAACCATACAAAGGAACAGGAAAATACCTCCCAATCATAGGGAAAAATAATTCAAAATTATTCTTAAGAATTATTTCTTTTTTAATCTTTTTTTTTTGTACCAGGGATCAAGCTCATGACTTAGTGCTTGCCAGGCAGGTGCTTACACCACTGAGCTAAATCCTGGTCTTAAGAACTATTTCTAAGAAATCTCCACCACTGCAATTCCTAGTCATCATACATAAATGAGCTAAAGAAACCATAGACAAAGATCTAAAATTACCAGAAGAGCAATGTATGATACAGAATGACAGTAAAAAGATTGAAATTCTTTAAAAGGAACCTGAATAGAAATTCTAGAGCTGAAAAGTAGAATACCTGAAACAAAAATGTCACTAGAGAGCTTCAAGGCAGATTTTAGCAAGCATAAGAATCCACGCGCTTGAAAATGATGCAATTGAAATTACTCGTCCACAAAGCCAAAGAAGAAAAGAAAGGAGAAATGAGCAGAACCTGAGAGACCCGTGGGATAGCATATTATTCCAGAAAGAGAAGAGGATGAAAAGGTACAGAAAAAACTATTCAAAGGAATCATGGTGAAGCAGTTGCCAAGTCTGATGAAAACATTCATAATATATATGTGATGGTTTAGTCTAAAATGTCCCCCTAGACTGTCATGTGTTTGGAGGTGGGGGTTCTGCAGGGAGCAGGAGGGCTTTCACCTCCTCAGTGAATAATCCATAGATGAGTTCATAGTTGACTGGATATTAGGAGGTGGGGCCCCAGTGAGGGAAGGCAGTCACTGGAATTGTGACTTTGAAGAATATATCCTGTCCCCGACACCTTCCTCTCTCTCTCTGTGTTCCCTGGGAGCCATGAAGTGAGCCGTGTTCCTCCACCATGTTTCTGCCCTGGAGGCAATGGACCATGAACGAAAACCTCTGAAACACTGAGCTGAAAGAAACCTTTTTTTTGTGGTGCCAGGGATTGAACTCACAACCTCGTGCTTGCCAGGCAAGTGCTTATGCTGCTGAGCTTAATCCCCGGCCCAAACCTTTTTTTCTTTACATTGTATAGGTCAGGCATTTGGTCTCAGCAGTGGAAAGATGGCTAATACAGTATCCAAGAAGAAGAGAACTCCAGGCAGGGTAAATTCTGAGCGATCCACATAGAGATAAATTTTAATCAAATTGTCAAAAGATCAAGGGAGTCTTGAAAGCAGCAAGAGAAATGTGACTGTAGCATACAGAGTGGCCTCAGTAAGATTAAAGACTGATTATCCTGAAAGGAAAAAAA